TGGCCAAACAAAAATGCCTCATCTGGAGCAGTAGCGCTCACTGCGGCAGTCTTTGACCTGTAACAAACTTTGGCCGAAGTATTGTGACCTGCGGCTTACCGAAAGACACTGCTTTAGTTAGGTGCAAGCGTCGCCGCGTCAGTTTCGGACGTCCTGTCCCCTACAAGCGCTTGTTGCCTTTTGCCGCCCCCTGGCGTCGCATGCACGTTCGAGGCTTACGAGACATCTAAGCGTTATCGAAGTAGAAAGAAGTGGAATGTATATCGCTTTTAAAGCACCTTCCCGATATTCGTTCTGGCCACCTCAATAACAATATCAAATACGTAAGTGTATATCATCTGTACAGGCTAATGGCCGGCATTTGATTGCTGATGACACATTAAATATAAACGGACAAGGACTCGGATGAGTTGAACTAGCCCACAAATTTAATGATTGTTTTATTAACTCAATTGATAATGACCACAGTAGAGTGAATAAAGCATTGATGTTTGTATCGAGATTTATAAAGAAAGTATCATCGTTTATCCTTCGGATTTTCATGAGGTCAGTTCTGCGGTTTGAGGTCATGAGGTCAGCTCTGTGTAAAAGTTGCGATATTAGCGGCACCTAAATAAAAGCCATTAAATATGTAATTTCGCAAATTGCACATCTTTCAATTGATTTGTTTATTCTGTCATTATCACAGGGTATTTTTCCTAAAAAAATGCAAATAGCAAAAGTGTCGATACTTTATAAGTCTGGTGATAAAAATTATTTATCAAATTATAGGCCGGTTTCTGTACTTCCGATATTTTCAAAGGCTTTAGAAAAACTGATACATTTTCGATTAAAGCAGTTTGTGAAAAATTTCAGTTGCAACAGATTCTCAATTCAATTTTCAGAAAAGGTCGATGGACTGTACTTGCGCTGTTGAACATTAAAGAAATATTTCTGGAAAATTTTGAAAATAAAATTCTAACAGTAGGAATTTTTGTCGACTTTTCGAAAGCCTTCGATTGGTTAAATCATGACACACTAACGAGTAAGCTTTACAATTATGGCATTCGTGGAAATGCGGCGGCGTTAATAAAAAGTTATTTGAGCTTTCGTTTTCACAGCATTCACATCAATGGCCACTTTTCTGATCTAAAACAACTACAGGCAGGTGTACCATAAGGAAGTGTGTTGGGACCCAAGTCATTCAACCTATATATTAACGACATCATAAATGTTTCACATAATGCCCAGATAATAACCGATGCGGACGATACGAGCATATTTTTTCAAGGAACGGACAGAAATATTATTTCGTCTGAAATGAATAGTTTCCTCAATGCGCTTAGTTCGTGGGCACTGGCAAATGTGTTAAAAATCAAAAGCAATAAAACAAATGCCGTTCTATTTCGCCCTAAAAGTTCTCATTGTCAAATAGGTATACCACTTAAGTTAGATAAATCGACCATACAAGTTGTTCCAACGCTAAAAATACTAGGGGAGTTCCTTAACCAATACATGAGTTAGAACGAACACGTAGAACATGTTAGGTTTAAATTATCAGAAATGGCAGGTATTATTTATAAACGTCGTTTTTGTTTACCAGAAAGGGTCAAGATTATTTTATATAACACATTGTTTGATTCACATTTGAAGCACTGTCAGATTGTATGGCGCAATACGATAAAATTAAACATAGACGGATTATACATCGCACACACAAAACAAAAATCTTACGTTTAGTACCCAATGCACCATATAATAGTCATACCGATATTTTATCCTCAAGCTTTAAGGTAACGCGTGTTTTTCCTTATATACTCAGACATTAATACAGAAATATAAAAATAGTATTTATTATAATAACAAATCATTCCTTCACTTAGCTTCGCTGGATAAAAACTCTTCGTTTTATCATACGCGTAGTTCAGAGCACTGGAGAGTGCCGCATCCCAGAACCAATTACGGATTTCAAATGCTTCAGTATACTGCACCATGCGCCCTTAATGAACTCATTAAAACAATATGCACATAAAAATATGACCAATAACCAAATTAGACAATGGTAGTTTTACACCAAATAATATTTAAAAAGTTCTGCACTGTTCATGATATCAAAAGCTTTATTAAGTTCTGTATATTTTCTTTTCTTGTTTTTTGCAAGTGCCGACTAATCTGCCTAAGTCTGTTTCGGACGCAGGGACCTTTCAAGCTACGCAATGTAGCCTTTTTTCTCTTTCTCCTTCTTTAAAATGGAGTCCATAAAGATGAATCGAATTAAGGAAGGTGGTCACCGATGCAGAGCCTGAACATTCCAGACATTAGTCATTTATATTTTTGTGCGATGTGAGCGTGACGAGACATAATCTTTTCTGCGCTACGCAATTGAGGGTATAATTGGAATGCTCGGCTTCGGCATGCCCCAGACAGCTCACGACATCAAAATGTGGGGAATATTCCCCAGGAATTTACTCAAGTAAGCGCCCCGAACAAGGTGGTAGAACTGTCACCAATTGAAACCAAAAACACAATGGATAAAAGACAGTACGGCGAAGAACACCGTATCTCTCGTAAGTGAACACGCGCTACATTTCAATCTACATTGGTATACAATAATTTAGACTTAATTTGGAGCCACTAGACGGCACTGAGTTTCTGAAAGTGTTTATTCACTGAAATTTCTTCTGTCTATAGGTGAGTTGCAAGAGCGAATCCAAAGTAACTCCCTGAGTACGAACACAGGGTGTCTTACGTTGTCCCTAAGACGACTTGAAGACCGAAAGCCAAAGCGCCGATGCATTAAAGACAGACAGATGATGTATTCGCTGAGTCATCCCTCTTAAGGTGCTGAGTCATCCTCTTTAATGTGCTGAGTTATCCTTCTCAATGTGTGCGTCATCCTTCTCAATGTGCTGAGCCATCATCTTAGTTTGCTTAGTCATCAACTGAGTGGTCACATCAAAGTTTTGGTGCCTTCCGTGTCGCCGACGTGTTTTCGCTCAAGGACTTCGAAGGTTGACCGAACGATGAGACATAAAGGCTTTCGCCTTAAAAAAGGCTCAGTTCGTAGAGCGATGAAGACTGTAGAGATAATGACTGCTATCACTCTGGTCGCTGATTCGAATCCGGTTCGACAGGGAAAAAGTGTTCTGTTCTTAGAAACTTACCGGTGGCAGCAGCGGCTTGGGACAATCATGTGATTGGTGACTTCACCGGGATTTTTCGCGAAGGGCGACCACGCAGTATCCGCGAAATGTTCCCACTAACAGCTATCGCTGCAAAATAAACTGTCCCTACCTCAGCTGGTTGGTACAAAAAGGCAGTAGAGCTGGCGCAATTATGAGCTTCAGCATTAGAGGACTTGTGAAGGTCCTCTTTTCTCCTATGTAATTTGTAGCTTAATCGTCTATATTTCACACATTGAACGAATATTTCAGCCTGCGAAATAGATCGAGAGACGAACACTTTCCGTGTTAGTTCCCACGATAAGCTTGACAAGCAACTCACAGTTAACTTAGGGCCGCCTGAAACCTAACGGCCGCAGCCGTAGTCGGTCGGTCTTCCTAAGTCTGGCTGAAAGCTGCATACAATATATACTTTGCATTGGATGGGATACGCAGCCGGCCGTGTATTAAAGTGCGCGAGCAAGCAGAAAAAGGTTTCCTTCGACCTAAAAAACTACTGGTTTATTTTTTTATTTTTTTGTTTCTCGTGTTCGGAATCCGTCAAGTGAAAGCTTCGAGGTTTGTGCAGCAAGAAAGCTTTGGCCAATGTGTTGGGACCTCAAACCCAGCAAAGGTGTTGCTTTTTGTCTGATTTTTCCCGTTAATGTTTATTAAAATAAAGACACGTTTCGATTTTATCTTAAATCTTCATTTCAATCGATTTTTAAATGCAGCGGGGCTCTAAATCTGAATGCCCTAGGCGAGAAAAAAGATTAGGGAGAAAGTTGTCACATAATATATGGAACCTTGTCAATTCGTAGGCTATCGTTTGGCATTGCACTGTTTGGTACCTCGTCACAAATTTGAATGGCCACTCTCGTTTACCTCCGCAGAGGCACTCCTCTGAGGCAAACGCAAAAGTGAATTTAGTTACGCGCTTTGGAAGCCATGTTTCAGGAATGAAATATACCGAGGAATCCGCGGTGCCCGCTCACTTAGAATCACCCGAATCACCCCCTTAGTGACGAGTGACGTGTTCCTAAAATCAAATGTGTAACACGAAAGAGGAGAGAGCTGGTTGAGTACTAGGGTATTAGGCGTTGACAAAAAGAAAAACATATCTTATAACTTATTACGTAATTTTCGCATGGGCGCAATTGTACACCTCCTCTAATCTCGTCATCTTCATGCCCTAATTCGGGCGTGCCCTTGAGCAACGCGGGAATATATTTGGCTTCCGATTCGCCGCACCGCAGTCAAACTAGATACCTCCCAGAAGTTTGGACAAGCGAGCTGGCGATCGTGAGACCCGCCCGGGCGCCAACTAGAGCAGGTGACGAAACCTGCTCCACGGCGGACCTCTCAAGCAGCGTCTCAAATCTGGCGCGTGCCGATAAAGTGCGCGATAATTTCCGGCTTCCGGAACCCCATCTTTATTTGTGGGTTCTCCGCCATTTTTCCTCCTTTCTTATCCGCTCACCTCTTTGTTCTAATTATATTTTTCGCTCGTCTGCAATTAGCTCGGCTCGGCCGTTAGTGATCTGGCTCAGATGGTAAGACTGCAGGTGCAGGACAAAAACCAAAAGGCAGAAAAGTGTGTCAATTAGCATGTAGGACGTTTCAATTGAGTCGGAATGGACGCACCGAAAGGGAGAGGTTATTTAAGGATACTTCCTCTCTTTCCTTTCCGCCATTTTCACATGACGTGATTGTGCGGCCCCCGATTTCGTAAGGAGTGGCTCGCTCTCATTTTCACTCGCCGGACAGAGCCCCCCGCTTTTGTTTCGACGGCTCTGCTTCTCGCTCGAGTTTCGAGGAGGAGGAATTACCACGTCATCGGTGCGCTCGGTATAAAAGCTGCTGGCTGTGAGGCAGGCATTCAGTCCGAGTTTGCCTCTCGTCCCAGGACAAGCAACCATGAGGGGATTGGTGAGTGCAACCAAGGCGTTGAGGAACGGCTCAAGTCTATCTATCTGGTTCTATCTTCTTTTCTGGAGCATTGAACATGTATTGCGTGAACTTAAACGGGGTAATCAGATGTGTTCTATATGAAGACAACTTCATTCTTGCAGTTGTTGAAACGCTCGCCGATTTCACATCAATTCGTAACTCAGCTACAGTTACCTGTACGTTTGTATGTAATGTAACATACTTGGCTTTGTCTTGGGATTTGCAAACTTGCCATAACGTGAATGCGGATAGATGTTGATTTCACTGACGGAGATCAACACTTCTGACAGATTTGTGTAACATTCAAGTAAGGTGATAGTAAATGTCGCGGGAATATTTTGTGAAGAGCTTTCGCTAAAAAAAATAGTGTCGACATTCCCATTCGGTTGTTATGAGGTGACGCTCTAACAAAGCCCTTTCATTCCGTGCGGAACGCAATACAGTCCGGTTTCAGGGAAAGCCCTACGTCACGCTGCCTAGAAACCATTAGCGTCAATGGACGGAATACACGCTAAGGGTTAAGGTTTCCGTTCGCTCTTGGGCGCGGTAGACGAAATTCATACGAAAACTTGATTTTTCTTTTAACAAATCGTGACTCCGTGTCTGCAGATTATCGTCTTCGTGACCTTCGCCCTGGTCGGAGTGGCGTTTTCTGGCGGCTACGGCGGCGGCTTCGGCGGCGGCGGCGGCTACGGCCACGGCTACGGCCACTACTCCAAGTCGCTTCCCGGGCCCTCGTTCCTCGTGAAGAGTGTTCACCACGTGAGCCGAGTGAGCCACGGAGGAAACCTGGTCGGAGCTCACGCCGGTGGTGGATTCGGGGGTGGATTCGGTGGGGGATTCGGGGGCGGATTCGGCGGCGGGTTCGGCGGTGGCCATGGCCTTCTCCTGCACAAGGGCTAAGGAGCAAAGCCCCGTGTCGAGCGAGTGAGAGTGCGACGACTGAGACGACGTCTCCCCGTGAGGTTCGACAGCTGTCTTCGCAAGACGCCTGGCTGGTGAATGTGGCTGCTCGCGGCAGGGATTGACCTCATGTCACACCCTGATTCGAGTGGAGCGAAAGATCAGCATTTCATTCTGTACAGTTCTACTCTCTTTTGTAAAATAAAGGATGAATGACAAAAAGGAAAAGACTACAATTTCGGTGTTTTTCGTTCGACGAACAGTTGGGCAAGAAATACGCTTCTCCTCGATTTATTTACGGTATTCGACAATGGCAATGGTGCGACATGTCTTAACTCGGAAGCACGTCTGATGAATGAAACTATCTGAAATACAGAAATCGCATTACCGCTATCTCTTATAACCACAGAAACACAAAAACAAAAACAAAACATTGATCCACGACGCATGGCGCAATTATTTCTGGTAAATGCTGTCGGAACTTTGTCGTCTTCGCTAGAAAAACTTCATATGAAAAGGTATATAAATTGCTGAATGTTTTAGTGTCTGCTGACTTATTGAATAATTAAGTGAATATCCAGCCTCGTAAGAAGGAACAGTAGCGTTTGGTGACGCCCTGCACAGGGTGAGGACGTAAAGTATTTACTTCGTCGGGTTTCCTGATTTAGCACACGATATTAGAAACGGGCGTCCACAGGTCTCTCGTTAAAGCCATCTTGAGTCTCAACCGAGTATTCGCTCTTAGAAAAAACGGGCGGTTGACGTTTAGTAGATCTTTAGCGTCAAGCAATAATGCATTGATTATCCAAACCTTCATCTTTACCTGGTGCAACTACCAGTTCATACTGACTGAATTGCTACTACATAAAAAATTCTTCGAAAGATGTATTTATAATTAACATAATATTTTTTTTAATATTCAGAGATCGAGTCGAGGTCGAGTTCAATTTTCACTATTTGCTAAAGCACAATCGAAACTGTAAAAAATATGCCATATATTGTTTATCTGTAAGAATCAGCTTTCTATATCACACCAAAGCCACGTTTTTGAGAGAAAGTATTTTCTATCATCTTAAAATCACCATAATTTGACAAATATTTAAAATAACTTTGATCCTATTGGGAACATTTCATGGTGCACGAAGATAATCCAGGCGACCGGTCATCAAACCACTCTGCACATCACAAAGTGTTTCCATATTTTATTCAGACAAAATGTCACTCTTAAGGGAAAAATAGCTTAAACGCATCAATATTTTACTAGCGATGGTTTGGCATAACAGTGAAAAAATAATTTCGCTTTTATAATTTCAATATCTCTGAACAAGTATAGCATTAACTATTATCTGGTATCTAAAAGAACTGCGCCGAACGCTATTGAATAACCAATATTTGTCTATATAATTCATTGAGAAAATCAATTTTATGGTACAATTATTATGCCATTTTTAGCATGTATTTTAAATGTGCTGATACCAAAGAGTGTGTAGCATCCTTTTAGCTCTCTACTCCAGTAGAAGTGTAGTAACATCTCATAATTTTTTAGGTCATGAAATGTGCTACTTAGTATTAGCTGCCAGCGCAGATTTCTTTCTGGCTTAGATCTAAACAAATCGTGTACTTTTCAAAACCGATATTATCCATATATTATAAACAATATTGAGGAATGAAGGTATCTCAAGTAAAGACTTCGGCGAATCGGCCTCTTTTCTGCTCGTGTTTCGTTTATAATTTATTTTAATAAAAAGCCTCAGAAAATTTACGCCTCTCTTTTAACATAGTTTTAATAAATTCTGGTGTGAAATCATCTATGTAAAATCCAACTCTTTCTGAGTGTGACAAATCATCATTGTGATTTTAGTTATTTTGAATGTGGCGATCACATTACAAGAAGCGATCTGCTTAGCTAGGTCGATGCGGGAATGCAGCTGCAGAAACGTGGCGTCTTCGCAGTTCAATTTAACACGTGTTGACGCAGCTTCCAAAGTAAACTGAAATGACATCAGTTAGATGTAGATTGCTCTAATTAAGGCAGGTAAGTACCAGTACACGCGGCGTTTCTTGAATGGCTAGTCAGGTCACTCTCGCAAAAAATATGCATCCCGCGGAATATATATATATCTATATCTATATATCTATATATAGATGTCCTATTGGCCTTTGCCAAAGGGCCTGTTTAGGAAAAGTAATGCCGTTTAAATTGTCACAAAAAAAAACAATATAAAAATTTCGAACTAGAATAAAAATGTATAATAAGGTGACCTTATGTCTCTAAATAAAAAACAAAGTGGTTGCACGGATCACGCGACGGAAGGGCGACTGCCCCGAAGCACTCGTTACCGATGTTTTATACACGCGAACACGCGATTGATTTTAGGACGATGATAGGAGAAGATATATCGTAGAGTTTCAGCGGTCATCTGAGGCCGGATTCTCGAAGCGAACTTACGACGAAAAAAATGCGTACGACAAATTTGAGAGAAAATCCGTATTCTCGAAACAAAATTGTCGTAACTTTTGCGCAGGTTACGACAAAATCCTACGACAGCTCCGAAGCTGTCTTACGCACTTTCTACGATCAAATTAACATGGCCGACAACGTCGCTCAGTTGCTCGGTCGCGACGACCCAACGGAATTTATTTTTCTACCTGCTCTTCTTGCGCGTCCCGACTTCAAGCAGCAAGAAAAAAATGAAGAAGTACTTGAAACCGACCACGAAGAACATGAACGCTGGATCCACAGACACCCGGAAAAGGCAACAAAGGCGACGATCCCACTGACCAAGCGAGCTCGGCAGAATATATAGGCCTAGCATGCACTCCGACCCGTTCCGGCGCAGCATTGCTCAGACGGTCCTTGGCCAAGACCGTCTGCCCACGACCGGCTGGCTTGCTGAATGGAATATGCCCGCGCGACCCTTGTGGACCCTCCCCGTATGAATAGTTTGATAGCTGAACTAAATTTCAGAGGTCAACCGATTCCCCTTATCATCTCGACTACCTTGTTTTCCGAGGCAGCGGTGACGAACGCTGTCGTCGAAAAGGGACTCCTCGATTCTATCTCCTTGTTTTGTGTGATATAGAGCTCAAATAAACGCCGTATGGATTACCTTCGCAACACGGTATGTACACTTTGTTATTACTATGCCATTTTTAACTGTCGAGCTGTATCAGTTTGTGGGAGCTACGTGATGCCGCTTTAACCTTTCTTTGCCGAGTGTCACGTCAGTATCGAGTTGCAATCGTAGAAGATCGGTCCCGAAGCGCTTACTGAAACGCAGTCTGAATCCAGCACTTCGATCAAATGCACGCGTCCGCTCCGAGTGTGAGCAGGTATTTGCGTGACTCTTGCTGACACTCTCGTAGTTCAAACGTATCTTTTTTAACGTCCGCTCACTCCTGCATTTCCGAGGCCGCGAGAAACGCCGCGGCGGTTTGTTTCCTTCTACGTCGCTTTGCAAACGACTGGCACGGGGCTTTTACCAACGATGACAGTTGTGTTGACTTCGTAGCGATCGAGTTTGTAGCAGTCAACGGAGCGTTTAAATCGTGTTAGCGTCGATATATCACTGCACGGACACGAACCCCAGACAAGCGGTGGTGGAAAGGTCGCCCGTGTTTATGAGAATCAGCTTGAACACAACACATTTACACACAGACAGGACAGGACATACACAGAGCTGTCTATCAACGAGTGGTTAGCCTGTGTTTGTTATTAAAAATCCACGTGCTCCGAACTATGCCTAGCTCTCTAATTGGTTGTTCGTTCTGCCGAAGACGCCATTGCCATAGCAACAACACCGGAAGTCATCGTTTCTCCGTAAGAGGTCGTAACTTTCCTCCTCTCACTTAAGAACGCGTTTGTGAATACCGTTCTCGCCTCATCTTACGATGATCGTAACTTTACGAACTTCGTAGCTAAGTTGTCGTAGGTAAGACGTTTTTTATGAATCTGGCCTCTGGTCTCGTGCCTCCCCCAGCGCCGACCGACGGGTATTGCACTGCCTCCAGGATCGGAGTACAGTTCCCGATTCTGTGACGGGGGACCGTCTCCCCGAGCACGGACATAGAGTTCATAGAATAATCGAGAGCAGGGGTCTCGAAACACCGGCCTGCGGGCAAAATCCGCCCCGCGGACGGCTTCCGACCGGCCCGTGGCTGCCCGCGATCTTTCCAATGAAATCCGCCCCGTTTCCCTGAGGCCCAGTGCTACAAGCGCAAAATCACGCCTGCAGGAATTAAAGGTGCTGCGACGCGCTGTACTTGCGCAGACGAAGATACCAGAAAGAACCACAGAAAACTGCGTATCGTAAGACGATCCCTCTCTCCATAATATGAACTGGATACTGTCATCATCCTCATCACCATTCTTAGCTCCTTGTCTCACGTGTGCGCCATATGTTAGAAATAATTTCCGTTTCCAAGTACGCATATTGTGCTTACTGTTCTTTGGCGGAACTAATGTATTGTTTCTGCATCAGTTCTGCCATTATCATTCCTTTTCTGCTACGTGTGAATATGGCAAAGATCTTTTCCGCTACTGATTTATTCTTGGTGAGTGTTCTGACCCCAAACTGTTGTGTAATATCACATTTAGCAGCTAAATATTGAATTTCAAGACAAAGGATATGTATTCATCTATCTCTTTTTTTTTGTTAAGTTTTACCGTAGCTTTTAGTTTTGTACTTTAATTATTATCTAGCATTATTTAGCTTTTTACATTTATATTCATTCATTTGTTTTTCGGCCTTCGAGACTGCAACAGGTCCCCGTTCTGGCCCCTTAGTCAACACGTTTGGATACCCCTGGTCTAGAAAGAAAGGGTCAATGGAATCGGGCCGCTTCTTAACTGCGGGGCATGGACGAAAACATCGGTGGCCTCGGTTGGTGGTCCCGACGGGACCATATCGTTGGCGACTCCTTAATATGCAAAAAAAAAAAAAAAAGCCGCGAAACATCGTCTGTAAGGTTTGCACTTGGTTGTTCTCGAGCTGACTTTG